CTAAGCCCCTAAGCCCTTAAGCCCTACCCCCGGGCCCCCCAGGTCCCAGCACCTGTCCCTCCACACTCTGCCAGGCCCACCCCTGCTCTTGCCAGGTGTCTGGGACGTCCAGTCCTGTGAGAGGAAGGACTGGCATTTTTAGGGCTCGTATTACTTTCCCTCTTTTCAGCCAGCTTCTGTGTGTGTTGTGAGTGGAAGGGCGTGAGGATCAGAGGCGTTCTTTCCACTAGCAACAGAAGCAACTCTCGGGTGTGATCCTCATTCCTTAAGCCGTGATCCCCACGTGTTCACAAGTTGGTGGTGGTGACTTGGGGAAGCCGGTGTTTCCTACTTTTCTTAAAATAAACATGCTGTTTTTTAAAAAATAGCTAACTAGGTGTGATTTTTAAAAAATGAAATGCTAGGCCGGGAGCGGCTTTTTCTTGTTTAAAATTTTCATACTTTTCAATTAAGATGTAGTTCACATACCGCAAAATTGGCCCTTTTAACTAAACAATTCAGTAGTATGTTCACAAGTTTGTGCAGCCATCGTTATTATCATTATTATCTAATTCTACAACATTGTCATCACCCCAAAAAGAAATCCTTATCCCTTAGCCGTTAGCCCTTAGTCATTCTCCCCTAAGCCCTGGCAACCACTCCTTTACCGTGGATTTGCTTGTTCTGTACATTTCCTATAAGTAAAATCATATGCTCTGTGGCCTTTATGTCTGACTTTTTTCACTTAGCACGTTTCTGAGGTTCATCGTAGCATATAGCAGTGCTTCATTCCTTTTACTGCCCAATCATATTCCATTATATGGATATACCACTTTTTTTTTTTTGTGTGTGTGTGTGTGTGTGTGTGTGTGTGTGTGTGTGTAGACCGAGTCTCCCTCTGTCGCCCTGACTGGAGTGCAGTGGCATGATCTCGGCTCACTGCAACCTCCGCCTCCCGGGTTCAAGCAATTCTCCTGCCTCAGCCTCCCGAGTAGCTGGGACTACAGGCACATGCCGCCACACCCGGCTAATTTCTTTTCTATTTTAGTAGAGATGGGGTTTCACCGTGTTGCCCAGGCTGGTCTTGAACTCCTGAGCTCAAGCAGTCTGCCTGCCTCGGCCTCCCAAAGTGCTAGGATTACAGGCATGAGCCACCGTGCTCAGCAGGATGTACCACATTTTACTTAGCTATTATTCATCAGCCGATGGACATTTGGGTTGTTAACACTTTTTAACTATTATGAATAATATCACTATGAAAATTTGCATACAAGTTTTTTGTGATGTATGTTTTCAGTTCTCCTGTGTGTATACCTAGGAATGGAGTTGCTGGGCCATACGCAACTTTATATTTCAGCTTGTGAGGAACTGCCAAGGTGTTTTTCAAAGTGACTGTATGTTTCATTTAAATTTACACCAGCAATGTATGAGGAATTTCTCTACATTCTTCCAACACTTTTTTGGAGACAGGGTCTCTGTCACCGAGGCTGGAGTGCAGGCACAACCACAGCTCACTGCAGCCTCAAATTACTGGGCTCAAGCAATCCTCCCAAATTGGCCTCCCCAATAGTTAGGACTTCAGGTGCATGTCA